AACCTGCTCTCAATGAATTGTGTGTTGTTGTAAATCTTTCTTGCACAGAGGAGGCTGACAGTTCCTCGATGTATACTTTCCCCCCAGCAACCAGTAATGAATAAGTACTTGTATGTTCTTCTGATTACCAAATAAAAACAATGATTTAACCTGATGATTGGAATCCTAACAATGAAAAGGCTGTTCTCGTAATGTTTTGCATTGTCTATGTTCTGTCCCCGATATGGGGCTGTCCAACCTTACTCAACAATCCATCTCTTCAGTTGTCCTCCAAACACCACATAATACTCAGTGCTTTTGCCCGCACACTGGAAGCTAGGCACAGGGTATCATGTCTCATATGATCTTTTTTGAGGTGGATGGGTGATCAGAAGCTCCTTGGAGGTATATGAAATGTTGGCATTCATGGAGTTAGACTGGCTTCCATATGTTCGATTTCCTTCCGGGTACCATGATATTATGGTTTTATGGTCCTGTGATGCTAGTTTCTGAATTCCACACATTTTTCTTTCTTTCTCCTTCTCTTGAAAGGGCCACCTGGCAATATTTTCCTTCTCTCCAGCCAAGAACATAAGGAATCCGACCAGGGAATGGTCCTTACTCCTGTTTGTGGGCATAAAAGTAGTTTACATACTGGGTGGTTGCCCCCCCCCTTTTTGATGTTAGAGAGAGAGGAAGGGAAAAGGAGAGAGATGGAAATGTTGATGAGAGAGAACATTGATTGGCTGCCTCCTGCATGTCCCCCACTGGGGATTAGGCCCACAACTGGGCATGTGCCCTGACTGGGAATCAAACCAGCGACCTCTTGGTGCACGGGTGGATGCTCAGTCACTGAGCCACACTGTCCTGGCCTGGCTTGCCTCCTTCACTAGGGACTCCCCCAGTGGTGAGGTGCATATCACACAAATACTACCATCTTACCTGGGCCACCAGGTGCATTGCTTCCGTGTAGTAACTGCACTGATTGTCATTCTGACAAAGGGGGCTGTGATGTTCCTCCAAAGCAGCTGTGCTTACCATGCATTAAAATGTCTTCTCTGATCCCTGGCCGGTTTGGCTGAGTGGTAGAGCGTCGGCCTGCGGACCAATGAGTACATGCCAATGATTCCGGTCAAGGGTACATGCCTTGGTTGCTGTTGGTCCCTGGCTCTGGTCGAGGTCGTGTGGGAGGCAACTGGTCGATGTGTCCCTCTCATGTGAATGTTTCTCTCTCTCCCTCTCTCTCCTTCCCACTCTATCTGAAGATAAATAGAAAAATGTCCTCGGGTGAGGATTAAAAGAAATATTTTCTTTCGGAAAGAAAAAACAGTACTTACTTTGAAAAATATCGAGAAGTATATAAAATTAGAATCACTTGTAATTTCCCATCCAAGGACTGTTACCGTCATCTCTTTACTGTATTTCCTTACGGTCTTCTGCTCTGCATTTTACACTGTTGAGGCCATACAGTGCAGTACATTTAATTTTGTATTGTGTTCTTCTCCCCCATATAACACTATAGTTATGGATTGTTAGCATTGTCCCATTTAAAACACCTCTTTATTATTTTAATTTCATTGGCAACATAATATTGTGTTCTGTGACTCAAGCACAGTTTGCTTATCCACCTCTCTGTTGGACAATTACGTTCCATGCTTTTATTTTTGACAGTTGTAAATAACGTATCAATGGAGCTCTTTGTACACAGGGCTGTGTCAACTTTCTGAATATCTCCATTGGAAAACTTTCTTAGATGTACGATGACGGGGCCAACAGTTGTGAATACTCTTTCAGACTCCTCACTCATACGCCCAATCCCAACGCGTGTTCAAACGTGGAAACAGCCTTGTTTCATTTGCGTGTCAGTCACATGTCTGAACAGCTCTTGTGGTTTTGACCGTTGTTCACTGTGATGAACAGAAATGAAGTCACCCCAAAAGCAAGCACAGTGCTGATGGTGGGGGCATCGTGGAGGGAACGTTACTGAAGACTCTGAATAAGCCACTCTGATTAACATACCGTCAGAAAACAGCTCTTTGGGACGCGCAGGGGGGTTGGAAGCCCCCATACTTTCCGCCATTCCCTGGCCCTAAGCAGAGTGTGGGCTTCTCTGGACGTGTTGTGTCAGGGCTGTAAAGGGACAAAAAGGGCGATTTGTTCTGAGGCATCGGCAACGGCTTGTTGATGTCCACACCCCGCATGGAGCGTAGGAAGGTGTTGGGGGAAGGGCTGAGCAATAGCGATGGAAGCTTGTGGATCGCACTTGAGGCAGACGTTGCAATAGGCTAAGTGGGAGGGACTGAAGATGCCCAGTAAGTTGACACCCACTTTTTCTAGGTCCTTCAGCAGCCACCTCTGCTTGGGGGGTCTGCTTGTGTCGTAATGACATTGCTGCTGCTGGACTATTACTAACGATGACGCGTGGTCTCCAGGGCTCTTAAATCACCCTTGCCCAGCAGGCTTGGGCTTGGTGGGGCAACCCCATTTGTTTGAGGTCAAGCTGCAAATCACTGGGGTTTAGTGCTAACCCCATGTCCTGAGTCTTAGTGTGTGTGTTTGCCCCAAAGCGGTCAGTGTTGGTTGTCATTTCCATCACTGTCCTCTTTTCCAGACCCCTGATGAATTGCGTTTATTGCCCTTTAGCTGAACCAACCAAGGACATTAATTTGAAATATCTGAAAGCTGTTCGTTTGTCAAAAGATACTTCCAGTCCCACAAGTGATGACGGCGATGACATTTCTGCCCCGAGCTGACTGATTGGGTTGTTTACTCTGGACATTCAGATGCTGTGGGTCAAGGACGATGTAATTCATGACCTTAAAATGCTTTTCTCCCAGAGATGACATACGAGCTCCTCCCCCCACACCACTCATCTCCCTTTGCATGTAAACGAGTAACAGACACCGCGCTGCACAGCACAGCATGTTCACATGCGTATTGTCACTTGGTCCTCACGATGACATCCCCAAATCGATGTTTTTAAATCTTTGTACATGAGGATAATGAAGGTTAGCTGATGCACTGACGTGGTTGCTTATTCGTTTTCATTTTATCGACCTTGATGGTCAAATGTTTCAGAATTCTCAAAGCACATCAATGGAATCAATTAGCTTTTTAAAAAAAGTTAAGGGCGCAGACTGAAACCCGAGGCAGCGAGCGGAGCGAGGGCAGCCAGTGGCCTGGGGCACACAGGAGCATGTGGCCACGCAGGCGGATAGGCCCCCAGTAACCATGAATCGGGTCTGAGTTTCCTGGAAACACAAATAAAAATGAAAAGAAGCCACTGACCGGACTCACCTCATTCCACGAGGATAACACTCACCGGTTGTCAGAAGAAGAAACATGTCCCTGCCGGCTGAGAGATGGTCTTCCAGGAGCTTTTAAAATGCTCAGACCTGGGCCCCACCCCGAACAATGAAAGCATCCTTTCTGGGGGCAGGGCCCGGGCATCAGCGTATTTTCTTTCAAACTCCGCAGGTGCCCTGGGGTGTAGGCAGGATCGAAAAGCACTGACGGTGACCGCCGTCGAGTCCTCTCAAGCGAGACCTGCCCTACACCAGGGCGCGTGGCGTGTGTGCCAAGGCCACGCCAGCCCGGAGCCGCCGAGCAGTTGGCAGCTGCTCTGGACGTGCGCTTCCAGCTCCGGTTCCGCTGCTCTCCCGGGGGAGGAGCCAGAGGGGCAAGGGTTTGACAACTGAAACTGAGCTAGGTTGAGCATTATTCCCATGCATGGAACTTGGAGTAACGTGGTCGGTAGTTCAGTGGCTGGGGAGTGGACGGCGATTTCAGGAGCCCGACCTCAGCTCTTGGGAGCTGATGGAGGCTGACTCCGAACCTAATCCCGCAGTGGTCCACGGTGCCTCCTGAAGGTCTGGAGAAGCTAGAAGCAGGTGTATTTTGTGCGTCTCCGCCTGCTGCCTGTTTATGACTCCCGACCGGAGAGGCGCGGATGGCTTCTCCCCTGTCCTGGTACGCTGGGCATGCCGTCGAGCACGCCGAGAAGGTAACCGCCTTTCCAGGGGGCGCAGGTCTGCTTCTCCACAGACCCCCTGCCCTCAGAGGCTCCGCCTCACTCGGTGTCTGCACAGAAGGCAGCAGGGGAAGGAAGAGCTGCCCCCTGGGAAAGCCTCCGACCTGCAGGCTTCTGGAAGATCACAGTTGGCGACTTGAAAAATCGCACCAAGCGTTCCCATGAAATAACCTTGCAGGAGTGGACGCTCCCCCAGGTAGAGTCCCCGGAAGCTCGTAGTCACTCGGTGCCTTGCAGGATTTCCAGAGCTCGCACAGGCGACAGGGCATTTGATCTCACCTTCACGAGAGTGTCCGATTTTCCAGTAGACCAGAAGAAGGAAATGTCCACCCCACGAGGTTTTCCAAGGCTGCCTGAAGGTCACCGTCACCCGGGGCACTTGGGAAACAGCCAAACCCTGCGGAAAGGCAGGCTCCGGCGTGGGAAGCTGGTTTTGTTAAATCCCTTTTTGTTGAAATAATCGTCCCACGTATTTCTTCTCCGTGGGCAAACTTGGGACGACTGCCCCAGAAGGAAGCCTGGATAATGGGTTGATCACAAAGCAGGAAGAGTCACTGGAGAGTTTCTCTTAAGTTTTGCCCCAACATCCAGTAGCTTTGTGCAAATTACTTAAACTCTCTTTGTCTGTAAAATGGGAGTCATTTGATCATCAGAGAGTATATTAGAAAATTCAGTGGGCATTTAATAGCTCCCACGGGGCCTAGAACAGAGTGACTGCTTGTGTGTGACAGTGGCCCTTACCAATGACCCAGTGGTCAAACTGTGAGTCACCACCCTGGAGCCTTGCCTTCGTCCTCAAGCAGTGGTTCTCAGCTGAGGGCAAGCTGCTTCCTGGGGCATTTGTCATTCACTGTCTGCATGCACTTGCCCAACCTTCTTGCAAACGTTTCCAGACTTCTGGATCATTCGGTAACATTTTAGGTGACCATTTACCTGTCTGGAAGTCCGTGGACAATTCGACTTTGCCTTACCCTCTTTTCCCTCTTCGCAGGCACGAAGAAGCAGGCTCATGGCTCCCCAGCCCCCAGCACCGGCTCCACAAGTTGCCTTACCTTGCCAGGTGGGTAAACGGCATTGCGCTGCGATCTCAGCCATCACAGACCACAGAGAGAACTGGGAATCTGGCCCCTAATTTATCCGGTCTACTCCACATCACTAGAGAGCCTCTGTCACCCACCTTTGCTAGGTTCCTTCAGGAATGGCCATACTCTATCCATATTTGGTTCCCAGTCTCTCCTGCTTGCTGATGGGAAGAATAGAATATTGTTCTTCCTTAATGCTCATCTGGACATGTCTTGGAAGTATCTGAGAGACAGATGGTGCAGGGGAATGAGTATGAGCCTTGATGAGAGAGACTTGGGTTCAAATCCCAGCTCTAATGGGTTCAAATTGTGCAAACTTACTACACCTATGCGGCTTCTTGCTTATAAATTAGTGTAGTCCTGACTCATAATGGGTGCTCACAGCTAATATCTACCATTGGGAAATATGGAAGTCATGCATGAACTGTGCTGGATCCCATCTAATATTTAGAGGAAATTTTAAGCATTCGTGATGATTCTGTATAATCACTATTTTATATGAGAGGCACCTATTGGTCATTCTGTCTTCATGCATAGGCTTACATTTTCGACCACAATTTAATTTTTACAAGTAGAACCTGCAAAAAGTTGTGGGAGGGAGGTTATAAGAGGCGAACATAAACATAGTAGAAAAATAGAAAAATAAAAATTATAAGAAGGAAAAATGTTGCCAATGCTACCACTCCGAGGTAACCAAGGTTACCTTTCCTTTCCGTCTTTATTAGATACTTTTTTTCCCTAGAGTGGAATTATACTCTGCATGGAATTTTGTGTCACCCCTTTTAAATTTTTGCATTATATGATGAAATTTCCCCCGTGTTATTAAATATTTCTAAAGTATTTTGTGCTTGATTAACATTTGATATTATTAATTTATACTATAGTTATATGCAGATTTTTGACTACGTGGGAGGTCAGTGCCCCTAACCCCGGTGTTGTTCAAGGGTCAACAGTATATTCATTGATAAATTGCTATTAATGTAGCTTGTATTTATGTTATTATAAATAACCTACATTTTTATACATCAATCATTCTATAGATTGAGGACAGATTTCTATATGTAGGATCATTGGCTCAAAGAATAGGTGCATATTTAGGTTCTTAACACATTATAGTCAAAGTGATTTTCCAAAAGGTAGCAGTATTTTATACTCTCAGTGATGAGTGTGCCTTTTACTGTACTTTTGCTAATGCTAACATTAATACTTTACCAATTTGATGAGAAAAAAATTATATCTATGTTTGGTTGGCATTTTATATAATTATTTTCTAACATTAATTTATCTTTTACCTTTCTTCTTTGGGGAATTACCATATCTGATCCATTTTGAGAGGGACAGTGCCTTGCATTTTGACCGCTGAAATAGGAATGTTTTGCAATCAGTGTCGTGTTATAATTCAATTAGCATTGTTTTCTTGGTTGTGCATGAAATAATAGTTTACTTCATAATCAGTGGCATCCTAGCTCAGATGAAGTATAATCTACGTCTATCTGCTTTTTCAACCTCAACCTCTGTAGTTTCCTTCCCGCAGCTGAGAGTGTCCACTGAGCAGGCCTTGAACTTTCTTGCCTCTGTCACTCTGTCACTGCCTGAAACACTACTTACCCTGCTCCCCCCGCTCCTTTCTGTTTGCAGCCCCTCCAGATCATCTAGGTAGAATGAATATTTACTCATAATGATTTGCTTCTAAGACCTTTTCCCAGTGATAGGTGGCTTTTTAAAGGCTGGGATTGTCTCATTCATTCATTTTGCCCAGTGCCTGCCAAGGTGACATGTTGGGTGCTCATCAGTGTTGATAAGGCTGGTGGATGGGTGTGTGAGTGGGCACTATTTTGATGAATGACTAGATAGAATGCAGCCATCCTCAGAAAAAGGCTCATTTTCACGTTTGAATTTGCACCAACTACACTAACGTGCTTTCTAGTACTGAGTCAACCTTGCTCTGTGGCCCCTGGAGGCCTCTCTCATCGCATCTCTGCTGTGGTTAGCATGTGAACCAAGCGACTCCGGTGTGTAGTGACGGTGTTGGCTCTTCTGTGGAAGGTCATAGCTTTCCAGGGGCGGGGAGGCCGGTGGGGGTGGGGCTCTGACATCATCCTGGACATCTGCAAGAATGCAGGGCTGCCCTGGTTCCCGTCTTCTGTGCTGGAGACCCTCTGGTGGCCTGCTGGCTTCCACGGCCTCTGAGTCAGGTCTCAGCCACCTTGGCCGTGGCCTTAGTCGAGCAGTCTAAACTGCCCCAAGTTGGCTGTCCGAGGTCCTGAGTTCGGACCACTCCAAAGCCTGTAGAGGGGAGTGGGTAGCGCTCACGCTTTGTCTAGCAGACACCCTGCACCTCACGTTTACGACAGCTGGCTCACCTCTTCTTCCTGCCTCAGGAAGCCCACAGGTTGCCTTCCTGTGACTCAGGCGCCTCTACCACACGCTGGTCGTGTCGGCTGTCAAACCGTTAGAATATCTCGTTTGAGGATACTCAGAAAGCCCAGTGGAGGAATAATAATCCTTAAAAAACAATAAAGTAAAATTGTACAGAAACAAAACAAGCAATTCTATACTCTTATTTTGAAAACAAACAAACATGTAACCATTGGAATTTTAAAAGAGAAAGAAAAACTCAAGGTGAACCACAGCTGAAAAGAGAGTTAATGTTGGAAGATAGTCCTTAGGACTTTGTACCACACACAACATACAGAGGGAATCATATCACAAACGAAGGAGCTGAACCCTAAAACTTAGAATAAGATGTAAGGATACATTTTCATGACCTTGGGTTTGGCAATGATTTCTTAGATAGTGCTCCAAAAGACATTATCAAGAAAGTGGAAAGAAAATGAACAGAATGGAAGAAAATATTTGCAAATCACATATCTGATAAGGATCTCGTATCCAGAATAAGGAAGGAATTCTTACAACTCAATAATAAAAAGACAAATAACCCAATTAAAAAGTGGGCAGAGGATCTGAACAAACATTGTTCCCAAGAAGATACACAAGTGGAATGTGGAAAGATGTTCCACATCATTAGCCATTAGGAAAATGCAAATGGAAACCACGATACGATATCACTTCACATGCACTAGAATGAAGAGAATAATACAACTGTTGCCGATGACCTGGAGAAAGAGTATCCTCCTATATTGTTGGTGATGTAAAATGGTGCAGCCACTTTGGAAAACAGTTTGATAGTTTCTCTAACAGTCACAGAGAGGGACCATATGATTCAGCAATTCCCCTCCTATGTATATTCTCAAGAGAATGGAAAACATATGTTCACATACAAACTTGTCCACAGATAATCTTAGCAGCATTACTCATGATAGCTGCAATGTGGAGACAAACTAAATATCCATCAGCTGATGAGTGTATAAACAAAACGTAGTATATCCATACAGTAGATTATTATTCAGTCACACTGAAGGACTGAAGTACTGATACATTCTATAACATGGATGAACCTTGAAAACCTTTTGCTAAGTGAAAGAAGTCAGACACAAAAGGTCACGTAATGTAGGATTCCATTTATGTGAACTATCTAGAATAGGCTAATCCTTAGAGACAGAATGCTAGGGGCCTGGGAGAGAGGAGAATACAGAGTGAATTCTCATGGATGTGGATTCTATGAGTGGCAATGAAAATGTTATGGAATTAGATATTGCTGATGGTTGTACACCCTTGTGAATATACAGAAACTACTGAACTGTACACTTTAGTGGTGAATTTTATGGTATGTGAATTATATCTCAATAAAAGAGCATAGACAATAGATAACAGCTTTAAAGACTCAAATTCTTAGATGGAAAATGCATCTCAGTTGTCATACCTAAATAAAATTGCTTGTACCTATATAAAATGAAATACATACCTAAAGACATTGTGTGAGATTGCCTAAAACTGCGTAAAAAATGAGAAAAACCTTAAATAGTATAAGGAGCTGGTTATGTTCAGGGAAGCCGCAAGCAGGTTGCCTGTAATAAAACGAGATAAACCACAGAACTTATACGCATGTGCGCATAACCAGGGACACGGACAACAAAGCCGGGGACGGTGTGGGGGGATGGGGAGGAGGGAGTCAATGGGGTAAAAAAGGAGAAACATCTGTAACAAAAATAAAATTTTTAAAAATAATAAAATAAAACAAATAAATTTAGAAAAATGAAGACCAACTGATTGCAATATTTGCATTGGTAATGGTAAATGTGACATGCACTGAGGGATATACTCCTACAGGAGAAACATGAACTCCAAAGCAAGGTGTGAGATGCAATAATTAATGTTTTACACATAAGTAAATAGAACATGCTGGTAAGTTTGAGTAACTAGTCATAAAAATAATGTCCTCGAGTGAGGATAAAAATAAATAAATAAATAAATAAATAAATAAATAAATAAATAAAAGTAATGTCCAACTTTGTGTTAAAATAGGAAACAAGCTATTGATGGAAGGAGGGTTATTCAATAGAAAGTTAAGGAGTGTCAAGATCTATTTTGTCTTTGGGCAGAACTTCGTAATGTTGTAACTTTTTAACCCAAAGGATCGTCAGTAAAATATTTTAAATATAACCTACTGCATCTAGATCAGCAAGAGAACAACAAAGGGAATATAGAAAATGTATCAATAGAAGGCAGAAAGGAAGAAAAAGAAACAAAGAATAAAGAATGATTACAAAATTAAATAAGTCCAAAACAAAAACAGAATTAGATAGTAGAATCAATTCCAAAAATCTCAGAAACAGCAATAATTATAAATGGCTTAAACTCTGGCATTAAAATACAGAGATCATGTGATTAGATAAAAAAAATCCAAAATCCAGCTCTATCCTGCTTTTAATAGATATTCTTAAAAAACACACACACGCAAAGTTTGCTGATGTATGGTAAAAGAAAATCTTTGCAAAATATAAAGCTAGTTTTTGGGAAAATGTTGTCTATTTTAACATCTGTACAGCAGTCTACTATACAGATGTGCCATAGGATA